GGCGGAAGTAAAGTGAGGCACCAACATTTTGGCACTATGGGTTTCTGGAGTCGGCCGTATGGCTGCGTGAGGTAGGTTCCACCGTACAGACCGAATGGAGATTTCGCGAAGCCATTGTTCATAATTCATAACGCTATCGAGGCGCTCTTCGACATCTTTTCAGGAGCTTCGCACCTCAAGCCCTGCAGTTGGCGTCACGCGTGTCAACGCCTTTCGGGCTTGATGGTTCCGTCTTATCGTTACCCAGCACGTGCACGAACGGCAACACATTCGCATTAGACAGGGGTCAGCCGTCAATGCCGACTGGCATTCTGGTAGATAATTGTGCCGCTCGCATACTGTTCGTCGGCCATGCCGCCGAGTATAGAAGGCGACATGGTGAACCTGTCTCGGCGCCCAGAACCCTCGTGCGCCTCTCTTGGTGCCCTCTCGGGTTCCGTTGAATTTCTTGGGGCCCTCGTTGCCCTCTTGGGGTCCTTGTGGTTCTTGTGCGCTCTTCGTGGAGCCCTCTTGGAACCACCTTGAGGCGTTGAGGCTCTCGTGGGGCCCTCTTGGAGCCTCGTGGTGCGCTGGGATCCTTCTAGGCCTTGGCTGGGCCCCTCCTAACCTCCCCCGAACGCCAGCGACAAGGAGTTCCAATAACGTTAACATGCAATATGTTTCATTTCTTTTGCGGATTTGCGCCGAGTGGTTCCCTGTCTCCAGGGATCTTTAGGATGGGAGGCCCCCCTCTCCCCCCCAGGGGCGCCTTCCTTCTCCTCCTCCTTACTTTTCTCCTCGTCCTTCTCCTGTTCCTCCTTTTCCCCTCCCCCTTCCCCTTCCCCTCCCTCCTTCTCCTCTCTCTCCCACTCGTCCTCAACCTCCTCTTCCTGCGCCGCTTCTTCCTGCCCCCCCTCCTCCTCCTTCTCCTCCTCCTCCTCCTCCTCCTGCTCCTCCTCCTCCTCCTCCTCGTGCTCTTCCTCCTCCTCCTCATTTTCCCCCTTCATTTCTCCTCCTCTTGTCCTTCTCCTCCTCCTCCTCCTCCCATTCCTCCTCCTTCTGCCCCTCCCTCTCCACTTGTTCCTCCACCTCCTTCTCCCTCGACGGCAGCCTCTGCCGCTCCACTCCCGGGTATGCTGAGGTGTATTCCGAGCTGAGACTACCTGACTCGCTTCTCTGTTCCACTGCATGCTTCCCACACTCTTTCCCTCATCGAGGCATCTCGCCCGTCGTTCGTTTCTGGATGGGCGGATGGGCTGGTGGGCGGGCGCAAAGTGTCGAAAAGAGGCGGATGAGGATAAGGCAAAGGAGGTAGAGCACGCTGCGCTGGCAGCCGAGGTGTCCACCACCTACGCGAGCTTCGCAATGTGCCCTCCTTGCTCGGAGAGGCCGCTGCCGACCGCCGTCGCCGTTGCCGTCTTCGTCGTCTTCGTAGCCGTCGTCGTCGTCGTCGTCGTCGTCGTCGTCGTCGTCGTCGTCGTCGTCGTCGTCGTCGTCGTCGTCGTCGTCGTCCTCTCTTTCGTGGTCGGCGTGGGGGCATCGTCCTTTCTTTCGTGGTCGGCGTGGGGGCGTCGTCTCGGTTACCCGCGGAGCTGCGATAGGTTCGCCGGCCATGCAGTGCCCTCGGGGTGGGTGGGTGGCACCAAGCCTGCTCACTTTCTCCCCTCTCATAGGACGCCCCCTCCCATCTTCCATCCTCCTTCCTCCTTCCTCCTCCTCCTCTTCCTCCTCCTCCTCCTCCTCCTCCTCCTCCTCCTCCTCCCCCCCTCCATCGTCCTCCACCCGCCTCCCTGCCAGTTGCTTTCAGTCTCCTCCCTCCCTCCTCCTCCTCCTCCTCCTCCTCCTCTTTCTTATCCTTCTCCTCTTCCTCCTCCTCCTCCTACTCCTCCTATTTCTCATCTTTTTCCTCCTCCTACTCATATTTCTTCTCCTCCTCCTGCTCCACCTCTTCCCCCTTCTCCTTCTCCTTCTCCTGATTATTTTTCTTTTTTTTCTTCCTCTTATTTTTCTTTATGTTATCCTTCCTCTGATGATTCTTCTTGTTTCTCTTACTATTTTTCCCACCATTCCCCAAATAGTGCTGGCACTTTGGGGTTCTTGCTTGTCTTGCCAGTTTTTCTAGCTGGACGGGTCCGCCGACGATTGTCCACGTTGGAGCTCCGTGCCCACCCGAGGGCGCCTCGTGGGCGCTCGTGCGCGCCCCGGCCCTGGGTGGGTTCGCCGAGGTTTCGCCGGCGCCCCGTGCCCGGTGCCCGCCTCGTGGGCGCCTCGTGGTCGCTCCGCTGCCCTGGCCGGGTCCGCCGAGGTTTCGCCCCGCTGGCCCTCCCCCCCCCTGGTGCCCGTGGGCGCCCCGTGGGCGCCCTGCGTTCTACCTCGTGGGCGCCCCGGTGCCCGCCCGTGGGCGCCTGGTGTGCGCTCGTGGGCGGACCGTGCCCTGGGCGGCTCACACCGCCTGCGCAGCACAGCTCGCACCGCAGGGCTTGCACCGCGCTGTTTGCACAGCGCAGCTCCCACCACGCAGGTCACACCGAGCAGCCTGCACAACATGGCTCACATCACATAGCTTACGCAAGATAGCCAACACCACGTAGCTTGCTCCGCATACCTTATACTTCCACAGAGCAAACACACTCTTCGGGGTCCACGCTGGCTAACCTATCATTATCTGTATCCTACTCTTTTTTTTCCTCCCTCCCTCCTTCCCTCCCTCCGTCCTTCCCCTGGTGTCGGCCATCCGCCCAGCCACTCGACCGCCCCGAGAGCCTGGTGGATGGCGGCTGCCCTAGGGGGAGGGGGAGGCAGGGCGACGGGATCTATACTTGTCCACTGCCCCAGGCCTGGCCCACCCCGGACCCAGGTGCGGTAGGTACACCTCTCCTGTCTTGGCCACGGAGGCTTGTGCACCGCTGCTGGGTCCAGGATGGGCCGGGTCTGGAGCAGTGGACATGTATAGACCCTGCCGCCGTGGGGTGGGGGGGCATGGGCATGGGATGGAGGGAGGGAGGGCGGGAGGGAGAGAGGAAGAGGGAGAGGGAGAGAGGGAGGGAGGGAGGGAGGGAGGGAGGGAGGGATGAGGATGAGGATGATAAGTATCAGTATGATCATGAATAGGAGTATGAGTAGAAGTATGAGTCTGATCTTGAGTATGAGTATGAGTATGAGCATGAGGACGATGATGATGGTGATGCTGATGCTGCTGATGATGATGCTGACGATTATGTGATGGTTGATTATGGTATTGGGGGCGGTGATGAGGACGACGATGATAAAACCAGTAATGATGCTGCTTCTGATGATGATCATGATGATGCTAATGATGATGATTGTGCTGATGTTGATCATGCCGGTATTGCTGGTGATGCTGAGTGATGATGATGGTAATGCTGCCAATGATGATGATTCTGATGATGATGATGATGATGATGTTGATGATGATGATCATGATGACGATGATGATGATGATGATGATGCTGATGATGATGATGATGATGATGACGATGTTGTTGCTGGTGATGCTGATGTATTGATAGTCCTAACGATCATGCTGCTGCTGCTGATAGTGATGATGATGGTACTGATGATGCTGCTGCTGATGATGCTGAATACGATGATGATTATAGTTGTGGTGGTGATGGTGGTTGTGGTGATGATGATGGACATGATGTTGAGTATTATCATGCTGCTGCTGATGCTGATATTGATTCGGATAATGGGTATGAGGATCCGTTATGCTGATACTGCAGCTGATGATGCCGATGTTCGTGGTGATGATGAGGATGAGACGGTCCTTTCTTCGTCCTTCCCCCTACTCCCTTCTCCCTCCTCTCTTCTGGACCGTCGCGCCGAGGGAATTTGGCACTCTCCCGGCTGCCTCCTCGGGTGACGGGCACCTTCGTGTCCTGCGGATCCGATCCGATCGCTTCCTCATTCCTGCGAAGATGCCGCAGGGCCACCGGGCCAGGCCGTCGTGCCGACTCACGAGAGGCCGACCGCACGAGTCACACCTCATCCGTGCTGGGTGCTCGTCTTCAGCCGTGCCGCCTGGGACCGGCTCAGCGTGGTCTCACCGCTCCTCTTGCCCTCCTCCTCTCCTCCCCTCCGCCCAGAGCCAGAGCCTCCCTTGCTTACCCTCCCTACCCCCCCTGCCAGAAAGCGGGATACCCATGGCGCGGCCGGCCTGGGCGAGAACCTGTTACACCTGTGGCCGAATGTTCTTTTCCAGCGTTCGGCCCATCTATGGCTGTGTAGGAGGGGGCTCCGCGTGTATGCAGCGCGCGGCCGCCTCCACATGTTCCAGACGTGAAGCCAGCCACGTGTATGTTTCAGCTTCCTGGGAGATCAAATGCATCGGGGCCAAGTGGGTCCCATTTCCGCTATGCTCCAAATCAATCTGCATCACGCTAGTCGAGAGTCTCATGGGGCGCGTGGTCCAAAACCGAAAGCACCAGCGAAGAAGCAGAGGATGGCGAGGAGGTGGAGCAGGAGCCCTTCTCCACCCTCCCTTGCCTTCCCTTCCTTGCACAACCTGACCTTCCCTCACGGCAGGTTCGCGTCGTGTCGACCAGTGGGTGCTCCACATTGAACGCCGCCCGCGACTCATAATCGGTCGATGTTGACAGATCTGACGTTTCGGAAACAGTCGATCGTTCAAGTTTGAACGATCCCCGCGACGTCAGGAACCCATGCCGAAGTCGGCACGGCACGAACGTGCCGTACCCTGCCTCCGCCTGAAGCCCCTCCTGCGAAAAAGAGGCACCAGAAGTGCATGATCTGTGGCGTCGGCGCGCCGGACGCAGGCGCCCCCTCCGCCCCTAGGCGTCGCGTTGCGAGGATTTGAGTTTTTTTTTTTCGCGGGCCACTTCGCTCCCCCAGAACTTCAACGTATTGGAAGCGTCGGCCTCTGAGTCCCTTCGCTGGGCCTTGGGACCGTCAGAAAACGACTCAGGATGAAAAGCCGGACCCAGGGAAAGGGTCGGGACTTCCAGGGCTCACGTATTGAAAACAAAGACGCCGGATTTCTGGGAAGGTCGCGGGCGATTTATCTTCCCAATCTCCTAGCCGCCAACAAACAACTGGCCGCTCAGAAAAGGAGGGGGAACGCGGGGATACATTCCCAGAGAACTATTCGGACGAACCCCTGTCGTGGACGGACGCCCCACATCGTATATCCTCGAGTGGGGCCCCAATTCTGTTGTCTAGCCGGAAGCCCTTCAAAGTAGGGGATTGGGGTCGCCATGTCCCCGCGATGCTGTCTTTTATGTTAAGCGCCTTGGCCCTTTCCAGGGCATCCTCGTCGCCACGGCTGGGTCCGCCTCGGGATTCTGGCCAGAACGCGCCCCTGAGCTGGCTATGCGTGAGAGTGACCCTTCGCTGAAGTGACTCATGGTGCGGGCCCACCATTGGCTGGCGCGTTTGGAATTGCCCGCCCCCCCCCCGCGGGCCCCAAAAGTTACGCGCCAAAGGTCACTTCTGCCTGGGGCCACTCTTTCGTGTAGCCGAGCGAGGCAGGTGCGAATGTGTCGATCGGTGACTCCCGTGTCGAGGCGGATGGCGGCGGGGAAGACCGCAGTTGTGCGCCGATGATTGCGGCAGGCTTGCGCTCCTCGACGCGGCGACATTCCAAGATCGAATAAAGAAACACGATGACCATGACCGAGATGTCATGGGATCTTTTCGACGCCGATCTTGGTCATGTTCCATGCCCGCCCGCGCTGATTCGCGAGGATGATCCACGACGAATTGACGATGACCAAGATGGACGATGAGAAAGGTCGGCACCGACGTTTCCGCGTTCAGTCTTGGTCACGGTCATTTTTCTTTGCCTCCACAAGGTGTGGTTATCTCCGCATTTTCCAGCCCCCGCAATGTCACCAGTCCCTGTCCCGCTCCTCCTCCTCCTCCTCCTCCTCCTCCTCACCATTCTTCTGCTTGCCTCTGTATTTCGCAGGGTGGCAGGAGTTGTCCTCCCCACTCGGTGTCTACAGGACGCAGTGTGCCAATTTTCGTTTTACTGTCCTAACCTCGCTTTGAGGTCCGGTCAAGTTCGTTTCTCTCCTTTCTCCTTCTCCTCCATTCTCTGTTTCTTTCGGCTCTCCTGTCTCCCGGCGCGGCGCTGATACGTTTTGTGGGTGCGTTCGTATCGTTACAACCGCCCGAATTTCCGCCCCATTATTTTCCCCCATAGCCCGAGCCCAGGGTCATTGTCGATTTTCGGGGCCAGCAGTGTACAGCAATCTGCGTCGGGGGTGCAGGATGTGTCCACCAGGGCCAGCGCGCACAGCAAGCTGCGACAGAATCGTGGTTTCTTCAATGGGTGGGGGAAGCGGATCCATTCGATTTTCTCTCGTTGCTTATGGGTGTTTGCCTGTCGCCTCGCCAAGAGTAAAACGAACTGTGCATGCGGGTGTTCGAGTGGGGCCCCCTCGAAGACCTGGTCCGAGCGGCGCCCATGAGGGGCCCCGGATTCGATTCTGAGGGAAAGTGGCCCTTGGCGGGCCCAGGCCACCTCGACTCGGCGGCGTCGCCGGCGCGGGCGTCTAAAGTCGGACACCTTCTGGAGGCCCGCTTCGGGCCCCCGGACCTGCAGAGAACAGGCTACGGTGCGAAGTCCATGCGCAAGTTGGGGGCCTTTGCTTCGGAGGGCCCCCGCAGCGGAAGTCATTCCAGGGCTCACCGGCTTGCGAGGCGTCCGAAACCATGGCCCGCGCCGTCGAGGCAGGAGCCTGCTGTGAGGAGACTGTTTTTATATCCCCTGGCGATGGCGGGCGTTACTGGGGGCGGTTACTGGGGTGAAGCAGAGGGGCGGAAGGGGGGTCCAACAACGTTGCGAGTTGTGCCGGCGCCGTCTGGGACTCAGCTACCTGTTGCCATTCCCAGGCGGCACCGGCGCGAAGTGTGACGTTATCATTGGAGGGGTGGGTGGGGCGGCGGCCCCAGCAAATGGGCGTCATCGCGAACAGTGACAGCGAGCTCAAGAGACCTCACCTCATTTTTTTCAGGGGCGGCGGTAGGGGGGACAGGACTAAGATGGGACGCATCGACCCCCGATCGCCCCTTTGTCCCCGAGAGGGGCTCGATGGCCCGCCCCGCTTAGGAACGTGTGGATTCGCGATCGGGGGCCCTATGGCCGATCATGGCCGATTAATCGGCGATGTGTCGCCGAATCCAGGTCGATGCTTCCCCCTAGGGCTTATCCCCCCTATGTTGCCCCTGATCCTGGTTTTGTGCCAGCGCTTCTCCAGTAGCCTCCGCAAGGTCGGCCCAACTTCAGTCCCCCCCCCTGCCTCTGCGCGTGCTCGGGGGTTGGTCTGCAGGTCGAGACTGGCCCAGCGTTTCGCGGGATGCGGCGGGAGAATGCTACCCCAGGTCTCTTGGGCCAGTCGTTCTCGGGCCAACGGTTTTCAGATGAGGAACATCTACCAGTATCGCGGCCTTTCCCTTGTCTTCGCTTGTTTGGGTCTCATGGGGGGCCCTCGTCGTCTCGGCCAGATTCTTCGAAGTTCCGGCCAGAACGCACCCCTGGAGAGGGCCACAGGGTTTAGCGGTATCGGTACTTTTTTCCCCAACCATCCTGTGGTGTGGGTCCTCGTTTTGGAGAGACAGCGCCCCGCGTCACTAACCTCACCTCGCTTCATCTCACCTCCCTCCTCCTCCTCCTCCTCCTCCTCCTCCTCCCTCCTCCCATACTTGCCTCTGCCCTCCGCATGTCCATTCCGTCACACACCCCACACGTTTCGTGGCCCCATTGGGAGCTCCACCGAAGGCCCCAGCGGCAAAGTTCGCATGCGGTTCCCCGCCCATGTCGGTACACCCCTCACACGTTTCGCGGCCCCATAGGGCGCTCCACCGAAGGCCCCAGCGGCAAAGTTCGCATGCGGTTCCCCGCCCATCCCGGCACACCCCTCACACGTTTTGTAGCCCCATGGGGAGCTCCACCGAAAGCGATGCCCACAACGCGGTACTCACAACTGCATATTGTTGGGTCTTTCGCCATGATATTTGTTTCCTGGTCTGCTTTCGGGTCGGACGCACGGGGGAGATTGGGAACGAGGTTGCGAAATCTGCTGCGTGTGAATGCTGCCAGCGCCGCCACCAGGTCTTCTCATTGTTTGGGCCCGTTCGGGCTCAGTCGCCGAACGAGCTCAGACTGGAATCCTTGGGTGGGTAGGTGGGGGAAGATGAAAGGATGGATGGCTGGATGGGCAGAGGGGTGGAGGGTGGGAGCAGACGTGTGAACAGGAGGGTGGAAAGGGAGGGAGGGAGGAGAGGGGGGGAAGGGAAGGACGGAATGAGGAATTTTAGGGAGAGAGGGAGGGATGAGAAGGGCGAACAGGAGGGAGGGAAGAAGAGAGGCATGAGAGTGATGGATGGAAGGGGCGGGAGGGAAATCAAGATAGGGAGGGAGGGAGGAGAGGGAGGGAGGGAGGGAGAAAGGAAGTTAGGAGAGGGAGGGCGGGGGGGAGAAAGGGAGGGAGGGAGAGAGGGAAGGGAGTGGGAATTGAGGAGGTGTGGAAGAGAGAGAGAGAGAGTCAGAGTGAGAGCTGGATAGAGTGACGAGATGGAGGGTGTCAGTTATGAGAGGAGGCGAGCGAGGGAGGAAGGGAGAAGGAGAAGGAGGCGGAGTCGAGCGTTGCAGACGGTGTCATCCACTGTAGGGGCGAAGGTCGGGCAGGGGCCAGGTTTCGCTCGCGCAGGTAGGAGGTTCGGGTAGCTGCCGCTACCAAGATCGGCCCTGCTGGGGCACGAGGGAGCCCAGGTCATCCGCGGTGGCGCGAATACCGTCGCGCTTCGTGCGCTTGTGGCCTGGGCCGGAGGGCTGGTCGCCCTGTGGGGGCGGCGCGAGAGAGCGAGGATACCCGCGCTCGGCGCTGCGTGCAGCGCGGAGCACGACGTTCGGGGACCTGGTAGACGCAAGTCAAGTAGACGAGTTGGGAGCTGCTGCTCAGATCGGCCCTGCAGGCAACTACCTCCCAGCGGCCCAGTTCGCGACCGTGCGGGAGGAGAACCACGCTGCCGAGGTGTTCCCCTCCGCACGTCTTGTAACACACATACACACGTACATGCAGAACAACGTTGCCGAGGTGCTCCACTCCGCACGTCTCGCAACACGCATACACACGTACATGCACACACAAATGCATGCATACACATACACACATACATACATACATACAAGCATGCATGCATGCATGCATGCATGCAAGCATACACACATCCATCCATCCATCCATCCATCCATCCATCCATCCATCCATACATACATACATACATACATATATACATACACTCGTACATTCATGCATTAGTCTATGCATACATACATTCTTACATGCATACATACAAACATGCATGCACGCATACATACACACATAAATGCAGCCGCACCCACATACACATACACCTATACGTACACATACATATACACATACACATTCACATACACGTACACAAGCACATACACACATACATACACATACACATACACATACAAACATGCGTGCTCATATTTACATGCGTACTTACTTACATACATCTGTACACATACACACGAGCACATTTGCATACATGCATGCGTACATACATACGGACATAAAGGCATGCATACATTCATAACTACATACGCACGTTCAACCATACACACATGCACACATACACATATACATACATACATACATACATACAGGCACACACATACTTCCATACAACATGCATGCATACATACATGCATGCATGAATGCATACATGCATACGGACGTACACATACATACCAACACAGACACACGCACATACGTACATACATACATACACACACACGTACATACGTACACACATACACACCTACATCCACCTACATACATATATTCATACATACGCACATGCACACACATATACACATATACACGCACATAAACACACATACGCACATGCGCTCACACATATACATGATCATACAAACATATATGCATCCATGCACATACATGCATGCATGCATACATGCACGCATGCATCTATACATACATACATGCAACCGTACATCCATCCACCCATACACACACGCATACATAGATACATACATACATACATACATACACATATACATATTTCCGTACATGCAACGTGCACACTGTGTACATACATACATACATACATACATACGCACATACACATGCACATGCACACATACACGCATGTCTGCATGCATACATACACACACGCATTTACACATACCTATACACATTTACATACGCATATGCATACACATATGCATGTGCATACACACGCAGACACACACATATAGAAATAGCTAGAGAGGCATGTATGTATGTATCTATGCTATATATCTTAGATAAGGGCATCGCCATGTCTATTGTATTGTATCGATTACGCCTACGACGAATCACCGCCGCCCCCTGCCTTTCGGAATCGCCCATGTGGCCGAACGTTGTGGCCAGAGCTCTGCCAAGCTATCGGACCATGTGTTCCCCCAGCCGTTGTGGAAACCCTTCGGGGAACACGCGGGGGGGAAAGAAACAGCGGCCTTCTTCAAGAGGCCCCGAAGCCCTCCGTCTCAGCTTTGAAGCGTCTCCCAGGGACATCCAGGTTTTCCACAGGGCCTCTGAAGCTTTTCTGAGAGGCTCTGGGGGCTCTCCAAGGATCTCCGGTGGCTCTCCCAGGGGCTCAGGGGGCTCTCCCAGAGGTTGTGGGGCCTCTTCCATGGGTTTTAGGCCACCTGGGTGTGGTGATACCTACAAGCGTGGCGTAGGCAGGGCGATTGCGAAGGCGATGTGCCATCTGGGTTGGAATTGTTGAAGTTCCTCGGAAGAGGTGTTGTCAAGACCTCCTCGGGCGGGAGATCAGGGTAAGGAGGCATCGGCCTTTCTGTGTAAGAGATCCTCTCTTATGAAGGGGGAATCTCATGATGTACGCATGCTGCATATAGAGTCATCGATAATTCGGGTAACAAAATTGCTGCTATGGTTGTTGTTGTCGTTGTCGTTGTCGTTGTCGTTGTCATTGTTGTCGTCGTTGTCGTCATGCTCGTTGCCGCAGAGGCGATGGACGCAGAGCAGTGTCCTAGCGGAGGGGGGGCAGGGTTGAAGTTGAAGAGGCTGGAGCAGGCTTCATCTCAAGACTGCGCCTGGGGTCACGCGGGACCTATTGGTCAGGTATTTTATCTGGGCAGTCTTTCTGCGCAGTCTTTCTGCGCAGTCTGCGCAGCGGAGGCTTTCGCCAGGAGAATCCTGGAACTGGGAAGTGCCCACTCTGCACTGCCTTTTCTCGCCAGCGCATAATTACCTTGTGCAATACATCTTCTGCAGGTTTTCGGGCTCTCCTACTTCCGAAGGGCGTTGACCGTAAATGACAGGTTCAGCAATGGAGTTCATGCTGTCTAATTGTGTCAATTTCTTTGCCTGGCCCGTTCTGGGGATGAGCTTGCGTATCCCCGTGCGCGAATGATGCAATCCCTCCTCCTCCACTCATGCTCCTTATTAACCTCCTCCGCTAGATTTGCACCAGCTGGTAGAACGTGCCAGACATAGGCAGCTCTGCGAACCAAGTGCTCTTTTCATGTCCGTGCCAGGAGGGGATTGAGCAAGCGAGGCGCATGGACTTAGTAGAGCTGTATTTGCAAGCCACGCCCGCGCGCAATAAGTGGAAGCGCAGCGGCGTAACACAATCCATAATATCTAGACCATCAGAAGTTGAAGCTCAGGTTCCGATGTTCGTCTGCCATGGGTAAGGGCTTCCAAAGAACAGTTCGCCCATCGGAACTAGTGTCAGACCTCCCCTTCTCCAATAGTTCGCATGCGATGGACGGCGTCTTGCACATGACTTCAGAAGAGAGCTTATCTGGCTTCTCATCATGGTACGGGGAACAATCGACGCACATGAGGCTCGATGCGTTTCCTCCTTATGCGCTGGGGGAGTTCTAGGAACATGCCGATTTCCCTTCTTGCCACCTGGGGAGGCGCGTCGTATGTCAGACGCGCCATGCAGTGCGCAATCCGACCAGTCCCTCGTTCTGAGTACAAGCTTGGACAGGCTGGATTCTCGTTCTTAATCAATTCTTCGATCGTTTCTTAGCATTCTCAGAACTTGAGAAGGCTTGCGTCTCACGCGTCCGTCAAGCAGCCTCGCCGATCAACATCTTGTAGCCTTCCTGAATTCGGGGCGCTGCCAACATCTAATCAGGATCGAGGCACCATGGGAACACACAACCAAGACACCATCAGCAAAGTATCCGGGCATCGACTGTGCAACGTTGTGGCATCATCGGGATCCAGTCGGGAACGTTTGCGCAGCGTGCCGCTCCGCAGGTTCTGGCCCACCACGCTTTGGCGCGACACGCTAACCACGTCCGAGTCCCCGAGCGTCAACGTCCCGAGTGTTTCTCAACCTCTCGCCCTGCGGATCGGAGTGACACGCTATCCGCGCTCAGGTCATAGCGTATCGCCGGGGCCGCGGCCGCGACACGCTGAGCACAAGTTCCTGACAGTAGCATCCAGACGCCATCGGGCCACCATCAATAACGTTTTCAGAACCCACAAGGGCGCCAGCGGGGCACCATCCAGAGCATATCGGGTCACCGCCAGGATCGGGACACTGGCCAGACACCATCAACAAGCCGTCGCTGAGACAGCATGAGCGAGCAAGTGGAACACCCTCAGAGCACCATCAACAGCCAGTGGGACACCATCGTGGCACCATCAACAGTTCCTCGGGGTTCCCGTCGGGTGCGCTTCGAATATGGCACCAGGAGGATGATGAGTCAATGTCGGCCTGGCTAATCCGAGGGATCAGCTTCGCGCGGGCGTCTCGCACGACACGAAACATACATCGCGACATCTCTGTTGGAGTGACCTCACACTTTATTCATACTCCTACTCTCCAGAAAAGATGCACCGAAGCAGAGCTATGCCATGGTAGCCTGGGCTTGCTCTAAGGCTGAGCCGACGCCTAGTTTTAATTTCTGAAGATCGAGCAGACCGATACTAAAGCAACGCTACAATTACGGTGTGTCGTCGGCCAATTCAGGATCAGTTGAGCAGATGTTGGGCTAGACTAGGCTCACCAAGCTAATATGAGCTAACATGTGTGCTTCACGGTTGTGAAGCGGGAGTTGCTACACAATGACATGCCAAGTCGCAGTCACTGAATCCAGTTCGACCTGTTACGCTGAACTGCAGCTACATCTGCAACTCAAGTTCCAGGTTGATCTACTGACAGGTTCATGTATGTTGTATTCAACAGGGCTGCATGTGGTTACTAAGCGTGGGCGACAAATAAACATACATAACGTCATCGGAACGTGCCCAGTACAATGCAGGACACGCTACATGTAGGCCATGCTAGGGTTAGCTAAGCCTTGGCTAAGCTAAGATACGTGAGCTCCGTCGGGCTCTATTCTATTTGAATTGCGGCGAGGAGTCCAAGGCAAGAGTACGGTGACCTAAGATCCAGTTGCGCTGCTGCGCGAATCCGACACCGCGCTCAAGCGGGCGCCTCGGGGAGGAGGGGGACGCTGGTGAGGCGCCCGTGGGGTACATTTGACGGGGGGTCCTAGCCGTGAGGGGCGCGAAAACGAAGCACGATGAACTAAGAAATGTAAAGGTTGGAGATGCACCACCTCGACTGGCCTGGGCGACAGCTGGCTCTACAGTCGACCGCACGTTTTTCTGGCGCTCGGCCCCTGCATGCGCGGGTGCGCCAGCCCTCCGCATGCGAATCAGGCGCGTGACGTCCGCGTGGTTCGCATTAGATCCAGCCGCGCGTGCTTGCGACCTTCCGCAACCTCCGGCTCCATGTTGAACACCGCCGAACATCGAGGACAACCGAACGAGGGAAGCATCCGAAAGCCTCTTCGAAGCCTCTGAGCAGCTGTGCGGGAACAGCAGAAAGCCCGAGCCCAGAAAGCTCGGGAACGCCTCCGTGCCTAGGTTCGGCGGCGAGCGAGGGGGGGAAGCGGAGCAGGGGCGGCCTTCCCAGAAGGCTCGGAAGCCCCCCAGCCTTTGAGACGTTTTCTGAGCCGTCCCCGAAGACAGCAAAACACCTCTCAGAAGCTCCACCTCTCAGACAGCCAGCGGCCCTCTGAGAAGCCCCGCCGCGTTCTGACAAGGTCTTCTCCTTCTCGTTCCCCCCCCTCGCTCGCCGCCGACAGGTGCCGCCCCAGGCGCCCTCGCCAGCGCCCTCGTCGGCGCCCTCGCCGTCGCTCACGAAGGGCGGCCCCCCGCCGCGCTACTGCAGCGCGCACGACACGAGGACTGCTGGCCTCCCTCCCGGGGGGCGGGGCCGATGTTTGCCGCCGCCCTCCTCGTCGTCGTCCTCGCTCCTCCTCGCCCCTCCTCGCCCCTCCCTTCTCCCCGCGCCTTCTCCTTCTCGTCGTCGTCCTCGCTCCTCCTCGCCTCTCCCTCCTCCCCGCGAGTATCGAGAGGGGCATCGACGAGGCTTGCATCCTCGACGTCGACGTCGACGTCGACAACGACGGTCGACGTTGCCGACTCGTTCGACGACCCTATTCGCTTCACCCGCTTCACCAAGGGCCATTGGTTAAATGTTTGTTTCAGGCCAAAGTTCGCTTTTTGAGTGTGCAAGCGAGTTTACCCCAAGTGCTCGGAGACGCACTGGGTGCCGCAGCTGCAAGTACACTGTGGGCTGCGATGGCTATTGCGCCGCGGTGCTGAGAGGATGGCACTGCGCGGAGGCTGCCGCTGGTGGCGCCTGTGCCCTTCCGCCGCCGGCCGCCGAGGAAGCGATGACAACTCCTTGAATCCTCGAGGGCCGGGCCCTGTCTGGAACGCCACACCTGCTGCTGCAGCCGCAAAGTCCCACGGCGACATGCGCGGCCAGACGGCGGCCGCCTGCCCCCACTCGACAGTGGACGCCTCCAGGGATCTCAGGCCAACGGCCGCCGACCCCTGCGGCGCGCCAGCGGTGAGTGCTGGGCCGAGGGACTGCCAAAGCGGGGAGGGGTCTGCAGTCAAAAGGTGTAGATAAGGACGGGTGGTAAGGACGCAAGACCTTTGGAGGCCGAAGTTGGGATTGTTTGGGCGGCGGACGACCAGGGAAAACGGCAAAGGACTGGCCGAAGAGGCAATTACACAAGGATGCCCTAGATGAAGGCGCGCCTCCTTCCTATGCGCGTTGACTGTAGGGCAACTCCGAGCCTATGCGAAAAGGCTCGTGTTGAATACCAGGAAGACCACCACCATGAAGTCCGGGATGCTCAGGCCGGCGGAGGTGGAACGAGGCCGCCTCCGCCGGCCGAAGCCGTCGGAAGCCGGCCGAAGGTGGCGGAAGTAAACCGTGCGCCCCCAAGAGATGACAACCTTTTGGGGGTCATGGTTTCTGGAATCCGCAACATCGTGCTGCTCGGCGGGAGCGAAGCTCGCCATCCACCCCGCCTCCTTCGGCGCCTGCTCCCCACCATCCGCTCGGAGGATCGGGAGAGGCAGGGGAGTGTGCACTAGCCGCGTGCAGTGGGCACCATGGGTGGCGAGTGTTTCGGTCCGCCTTTTCCCTTTTCCAATCTCTGCTCGACGCACGCCGTGCTTTCTGCAAAGCGTCCAAAAGGTCCGACCCTCCTGTCTCCTCCCCTCCTCCTTCTGCTCCTTCTCGTCCTCTTCGCTCTGCTTCGTCTGTCACTGGGAGGAAGAGCGTGAGAGTAAGGAGTGGAGGAAGGAGGAGCAGTAGCAGTAGGATGAGAAATGAGGGGAAGGACAGGGTGGAGTAGGAGGAATGATGAGGAAGAGCAGGAAGAGCGAGTACGGCTTTCGCACAGACCCCTCTGCGGGACGGCTTACAAGTCTACCTCTGATACGGGGATTTGAATCTATGATTCCGCTTTGTGTGCATCTGCACTTGGATTCACTGCGTGAAGAGGGATGTGCACATTGTCTTTTTCTCCTTATAGACTTGCCTATAGGAGTCCTAGCTCCATAGAGAACTGGTCTACCAGTCCCCCCTCTTCTATTCTGTCCTTGCATCGTCAAACTGTGTGCATGGTTTCCTCTGTTTCCGCATGTCTTCTTCTTCTTCTTCTTCTCCTATCCGCATGACTTCCTCCTTTCCGCACGGCTATTCAAAATGCCGTCCAAACACTCGTCCAACCCTCGTCAAACGCAGACGTAGAGCAGAGCAGAGCAGAGCAGGGTCGAGTAGAGTAGAGCGTAGATGGGTAGAGTCGAGCATAGTAGAGTAGCATAGATCGAGTATAGTCGAGTATTCCCGAGCAGCGTAGAGCCGAGCAGAGTGGAGTCTACCAGAGTAGAGTAGAGTAGGTTAGGGTAGGGTCGAGTAGGCAGGGTAAGGTGCAGTAGGGTAGAGTAGTGCAGAGAAGAGCAGTTCAGGGTACATGGTAGAGCAGAGTCGTGCATAATGGAGTGCAGTATAGTCGAGCCAAGTCGTAGGTGAGGGTAGGGTGTGGTAGGGTAGGGTAGAGTCGAGCAGCGTAGAGTAGAGTCTGGTAGATGGTGGAGCAGAGTCGGGTCGAATCGTGCAGAGTAGAATCGAGAAGAGCATCGTAAAGTGAAGTATTGACGAAGATGACGGAACGAGCGCGTAGCGTGCGATCCGTTAGCCAGAAGAAATGAAGTTAGGGGGAGTTTGAGGGGGGTGGCATCTGCATTGCAGGGTCTACTGGTCCGCCCTTTTCCCTGTTAACGGAGCCCTTAATTGGGAAAATCGGGTGCTTTACTGGCCCGCCCGTTTCCCTGTTAACGGACCGTTAACAGGGAAATTGCACGCTCGGGCAACCCTTTTCCTTGTTACCGGAGCCCTTAACAGGGAAACTCGGGTGCTTAACAGGGAACATCGGGTGACGGACGCTTTTTTCCCTGTTAACGCACCGTTGACAGGGAAATTGCACGCTCAGGTCCAATGGCGGCAGCGTGAACATCTCTGAACACCGCGGCTCCCCAGAGCGAGCAGTGACGTAAACAAGCTTATAAGACCAAGGCTCCCAGCAGAGAGCGGTGACGTAACAAGTTCTTGACACCAGGGCCCGAAACGGGCAGCAACGTAAGCTCCGCGCAAGCTCCGCGTAGGCTTCGCGTAAGCGCGTAAAGTCCTCGTCAACTTGAGGTACCTTCAAGACAGCCCATGAGAGGCCAAGCGTCCTCCAAGACGGTCCAAGATGCCTCCAAGACGACCCAAGAGGCCAGAGGCCCGTAAGATCGCCCCAAGATGGCCCACGATACCCCCAAGACGGCCCCAAGACATGTTCGAACATCTGCACGTATGCAGACGGCTTTAACGGCCTCCAAGACGGCGTAGAGAGGCCCAGACGGGCCCGAGGACGGCCCAAGAGCGATCCAGATAGCCCAGGACGGCCTCAATTCAATACGGCTCAAGAGGTCTCCAAGACCCCCCCGAGCACCCACCGATGGGCGGTCTAAGCGGGGACAAAAACGAGAGTAGGGCTTTCGCCGCCCGGGAGGCGCCCTTGGCCCCGCCCTACCTGCATAAGCTCCTCGCCAGCTTAAGGCACCTCCAAGACGGCGTGAGAGAGGCCCAGACGGGACCGAATACGGCCCAAGAGCGATCAAAGATAGCCCAAGATGGCCTCAGCACAGCCCAAGAGGCCTCCAATACACCCCAAGCAGCACCTGAGAGGAGCCCCAAAAGTGCTGAAGGACGAATAAACCATTGCTACCTTTAGGTTTATGAAGTTTTTCCAGCTCCTCGCATTTTCGGGCAAGAACGGCCCGATACAGCTCCAGAGCCCCCCGAGATTGTGCCATGAGGGCCCGAGAGGCTACCAAGAGAGCCTGAGGACGGCCCAGAAGGGCCCCAAGAGGGCCTAAGAGAGCCACAAGACGGCCCAAGTTGGGCCTGGGAGACGCCCGAGATGCTCCCAAGAGACGGTAGGTCGTCATCATCATCAACAGCAGTATTATCCTAATCTTCATTCGTGTTTGATAGCGCTCTAGTGCCTTCCCAAGACACCAACACGCCCTGGTTCCCCCTCAAGAGGCCTCCTGCAGCTTCGAGATAGCCCTAGAGGGCGCCCAGAATGCCACCAAGATGCCCCAAGAGAGCCTCCAGACGGGGAGACAGAGAAAAAACGGGCAAGCCAGCGACATCTCGCGCTCTGAAAGTAAATGCGCTTTCTGTCCCCGTGCCAAGCAGGTCTAATTGCCTTCGGCCCTTCCCGCCACCGTGCCTCGGTGGTGGGTCAGAGTTCTCAAGGATGCTTTTGGGATCTCTTCGGAGCGCTCTCGGGGGTCTCTTGGGGACAGTGTTGGGGGCCTCTTGGGGCCTCCTGTGGGGCCTCTCGGGGGTTTCTTGGGGCCTCCTGGGGGCCCCTCGGGGCCGTGGGTTCGAAATGTCCGTTCGGGTCCCCCATCCCTTTTGGAGACGTCTTTGGGGCCTCGTGGGCTGTCTTTGGATCCTCTCGGGCCGTCTTGGTGCCCTCTTGGGCTGGCCCTCCTGGAGGGTAGTAGTCGTCGTTGCCGTTGTCGTAGTCGTAGCAGCAGCAGCAGCGGCAGCAGTAGTATTAGTGGGAGGGGTGGGGGGGATGAGCGGCAGCAGGAGGAGCATGAGGGAGGACATGGAGCAGCAGCGGGCGGACGAATCGAGAAGAAGGCGGCTGCGGCATGGGCGCGCAATGGGGCCTGGGCGCCCAGGAGGAAGCGGGCGAAGGTTGAGGCCAGGCTCCTGGAGTGCGCCGGCTGCCGAACGAGGCGCGGGCGCTACACCCGCGGGGCCGCCTTCCTTCGGCGCGCTCGTCTCGAGCCCCCGCCCCGCCGCCCTTCGCCCTGGCGCTCCTTGCCCCTCTCGCCTCCTCGCCTTCGCCTTGGCTCTCACTCCTTATCCTCCTTCAGCTAGCCTCCTCCTCCTCCTTCTCCTCCTCCTCCTCCTTCTCCTCCTCTTCTCCTCTCCTCCCTCCCTCCTCTCCCCCTCTCCACCCCCTCTCCGCGGAAGTCCGGAGAAACATAATGGGAGGTGGACGAGAGAGGAGGAGGAGGAGGAGGAGGAGGAGGAGGAGGAGGAGGAGGAGGAGGAGGAGGAGGAGGAGGAGGAGGAGGAGGAGGAGGAGGAGGAGGAGGAGGAGGAGGAGGAGGAGGAGGAGGAGGAGGAGGAGGAGGAGGAGGAGGAGAGGAGGAGGAGGAGGAGGAGGAGGAGGAGGAGGAGGAGGAGGAGAGGAGGAGGAGGAGAGGAGGAGGAGGAGGAGGAGGAGGAGGAGGAGGAGGAGGAGGAGGAGGAGGAGGAGGAGGAGGAGGAGGAGGAGGAGGAGGAGGAGGAGGAGGAGGAGGAGGAGGAGGAGGAGGAGGAGGAGGAGGAGGAGGAGGAGGAGGAGGAGGAGGAGGAGGAGGAGGAGGAGGAGGAGGAGGAGGAGGAGGAGGAGGAGGAGGAGGAGGAGGAGGAGGAGGAGGAGGAGGAGGAGGAGGAGGAGGAGGAGGAGGAGGAGGAGGAGGAGGAGGAGGAGGAGGAGGAGGAGGAGGAGGAGGAGGAGGAGGAGGAGGAGGAGGAGGAGGGAGGGAGGAGAGGAGGAGGAGGAGGAGGAGGAGGAGGAGGAGGAGGGGAGGCGGAGGAGGAGGAGGAGGAGGAGGAGGAGGAGGGAGGAGGAGGAGGAGGAGGAGGAGGAGGAGGGAGGAGGAGGAGGAGGAGGAGGAGGAGGAGAGGAGGAGGCGGAGGAGGAGGAGGAGGAGGAGGAGGAGGAGGAGGAGGAGGAGGAGGCGGAGGAGGAGGAGGAGGAGGAGGAGGAGGAGGAGGAGGAGGAGGAGGTGGAGCAGAAGCAGGCGCAGACAGATACACTCGAGGAGGTGAGGGAGTAGTAGGAGGAGCGATCAGGACACTGAGGATGAGCGCTAGAAGGAGGGGAGAAACAGGGAGGATTGCGGTCATCCGGGATAATGATGAATATGAAGAGACATGGGGAGGAGGGGGCAGGAGGCAGAGGAAAAAGAGAAAGGATGAGCACTTCGAGGAGGGGGATCATGCGGAGGATGAGGAAGACGGCGGAAGAGGTGGAAGGCAGCACTAGCTAAATGGAGCCAGTCGTTTCACATACACCAGCAACTCTTAGCGAGTTCAACCCCGTCCTCCAGTTCGTCGGTTTCGCGCTTCTTGCTTTAAAGGATCGGCCAGACTTGTATTTCAGTCGGGGCAAGGGATGGGAATCGAAACAGCAAGAGCTCGCGGACGAGGTCGACCGCCACTGGGGCCTTCGGTGGAGCTCCCCCTGGGGCCACGAATCGCTGTACAGAGTGGGGGTCCCGCATGCGCGCGCAGCCACTGGGGCCTTCGGTGGAGCTCCCTCTGGGGCCGCGAAGCGCTGTACTGGGTGGGGGAAGCGCATGCTGATGAGGGCAGAGGCAAGCAGGGGAGCTCACTGGAGCCTTCGGTGGAGCTCCTTATGGGGTCACGAAGCGCTGTACAGCGTGGGGGTCTCGCATGCGAGATCAGCCGCTGGGGCCTTCTGTGGAGCTCCCTGTGGGGCCACGAAACGTTGTACAGCGGGGGGGTCCGCATGCGAGAGCAGCCACTGGGGCCTTCGGTGGAGTTCCTTATGGGACCATAAAACGCTGTACAGCGTGGGAATCCCGCACGCGAGAGCAGCCACTGGGGCCTTCGGTGGAGCTCCCTATGGGGCTGCGAAATGCTGTGCAGCGTGAGGTTCCGCATGCGCGAGCAGCCACTGGGGCCTCCGGTGGAGCTCCCTAGGGGACCACGAGGCGTGTGAGGGGTGTACCACAGTGAGGGAGGAGGGTCAGGAAGGAGGGGGAGGAGGAGAGGAGAGGAGGAGGGGACGCGGGGCGCTATCTCTTCAAAACGAGGACCCAACACCACAGGATAGCTGAGAGGGGGAAAACGGTCCCCCGGGATCTGGGGTTTTATGGTCCCCGGACGCACTTGGAAGAGGTCCACCCAGCCCTGCCGCGCCTCCCAGGGCGCCTTGCCGGGTTGCCCAGCAGACCCAAAGCGATCAGAGAAGTGGTCGAAGAGGCGCAGGAGAGTCCCAAGACAGCGCAAGACGGCCTGGAGACGGTCCAAGAGGCCCCCCAGACGGCCCAAGAGGCCCCTAGACGCCTCAAGAGGCCGTCAGGCGGGCCCCGACGAGGCTAAAATCTTGCCATTTCCATGGGCAAACGTACATTTTCAACAGAGTCGCTTTCTGTGTCGTAGCAGCGTTCACGACGGCCCAAGAGGCCTCCGAGACCGCCCCAAGACGGCCCAAGGGGCCCCTAAGAGGGCTTCAAGACAGCCCAAGAGGGCTCCAAGACTGACCCAAGACGGCCCAAAAGAAGCTCACGAAATCCCCAAAGGCTCCCAAGAGAGACCCACGAGGGCCATGGGAGATCCCTAGGAGGACCCAATATGGCCCCAAGAAGGCCCGTAGAGGGCCCCAATTCTACAAGAAGGCCCCGTCACGGCCCAAGAGGGGCCTAAGAAGGCCCAAGCAGGTTTCAAAAGGACCCCCAAGACGGCCCAGAGAGGCGCCCAGAGGCCTCCAGAGGTCCCCAAAGTTCTTGCGAGGCCGTCGTGTGGCCCCCGAGAGGTTCTCCAACGAGGGGCCTCCGCAAAAAGACCTGCGGCAGACGGGGAATCAACGCCAGGCGAGAGCGAGGATGAATGAGAGGAACGATGTGGAACCACAAGGCGTTGCTTTCCATTGCCCTGCATTTCGCGACCAGGCAACTTGGGCCACGAGCGAGCCCGTGTGGTGGCCACGCGAAGGACCCCGAACAACATTCCTTTGCATGGTCGTGCGCGTCTTCGGGAAGGCGTCTTCCAACGAAATACAACAAACTGACCCTGCCGTGCGTCTTCCGGAAGGCGTCTTCTTACGAAATACACGAAACTGACCCACATCCTGGGTTTGCAACAACATTCCCAGAAATCCGTGGCGAATTCGGGTTTGGGTGTCTCCAGGTAGCGTTCTCGTCGCCAAGTCATCGGGTCCGCCTCGACATTCGACACAAACCGCACCCCAAGACAAATCGGGGTGGCGCACAAACATGTAGATCGAGACTGAGAGCAAATGAGGAATGGGCAGCAGGACTTGAAAGGAACGGCCAACTTTCGAAGGCCAAAGAGGACGACGCCAAGTGCCACCATATGCGAAGCTTGAAGGACCAAGGTGAGTGGCGCGAAGCGGCAACGCAGTCTGTTCTGTTATATCACATTATATTATATCGTATCATAACGTAGAGTAACATGTCATGTTGTAGGACAGAGCTTCATTGTACATTTCATGTTCGTTTAAGACATTCTATGTAAGGTGCCATGGGGTATGTGGTAGTGAACGGTATAACGTAATGCGATATGATACCAGATCGTACCACATTTTATTGCATCACATTGAAGTGTTGGTTCGTCATGTTGTAATGTTGGATTTCGTATGATATTTTGTTGCACGGTCATATGGCACAGTCTAGTACATCACGAAATGCTGTATTTTAATGCATTTCATTTTCATTGAATTACCTGATCTTGAATTGCAGTAGTCCCTAGTTTATCAAACCATCTTCTATCACACTATATTTTGTCACTGGCAGTATATGCTATCGCATGCAATTGCAGTGGTATGTGCCATCTTCTGTATGTTCCACCATGTCCTGTTATGCGATATTAGTGTATATTCCCGTGTGCAATGTATTACACTAACATATCAATTTATCCATCACCATTGTAAACTATTTCTAACTACCCAATACCATGTTCCATTGCTGTCTGCTCTATCATAACCTGTGCACTGCCCTTATTTTGCAACACATGTTGTGTAGTATTTGTTTCGTGATTTCTTGCCGTACTATGTTATATCGTAGCATCGTTGTACTGCATCACATTCTAGCACAGTATAGGCTAGTAGTTTGCGATGCTCGGTAGTATGTGAACACTTTCCCATCCTAGTATCGTATACTGTGATATGCCAGGTGGTGCTGTACCAAAGTGCATACTACTAGAATATGCGATATCGTCTCATATTTTATTGTAGCCGTGTTCTTTACTTTTATATTACGTCAGATTCCACCATTTCATATTTTATCATGCTACATTTGACATGCATTTGAATGACAGTGTACACTCAAAGTTCATCTTATCATACTCAGTATTGTAATGTGTGGTTTCCGCATGTGATATTATGTTCAAGTCCACCATGCAGGATTAGTTCTATGTGTTCCGCATTTCCAGTGTAGTATCTTCTCTTCCCTTATATCGTTATTCATGTTTTAGTATATCATTGTATAGCGTAATTTACTGTATCATACCTTGAAATATTAAGAAATATAATGCTATATAGTACAGTCCCATGTATGTATGTATGCATGTATATATATACGCACACACATATGTATATATCAAATGGTAAGACCCCCCCCCCCGGATGGCCCACAGATAACTCGGACCCCCCAATGATCCCAGGGCCGCTCCGTGCTGGCCCGAAGGTACGGCCAAGACGGGCCACGAAAGCCCCAGAGAGGTGCAAGAGGGCTCCAGGAGGGCTCCACGACGACCCAAGATCGTTCCAAGAGGGTCCAAGACCGTCCAAGAGCGTTCGGAGATCGCCTCAGATGGCTTCAGAACAGCCCAAGAGAGCCCGCAGACGGTCCCAGAGGCCACCCAGACGACCCCCGAATAGGCTTCAGTAGGCAAACGTATCATTCATGTTCGATGAGTTTTTGACGGTTTTTCAGGTTCTCGCCTTCCCGTGCTTCCGACGGCCCAGGATGGCCCAACAGCCACAGATCATCGCCCCATCACGCTTCAAAATGCGCCCAAACTCATCCCAAAACTTCCCAACATGGTTGAAGATGTCCAAGAGAGCCTCCAGACGGCCCAAGACAGCTCCGTGAAGTTCCGAAGACGCCCCACAGAGAGCCTCAATAGGGCCCCCCAGAGGCCCCGAAGAGGACCTCTAGACAGCCAGAGCCCCCTGAGACAGACCAGAACGGCTCCAGGACGGCCTAACAGGGTTCGAAAACAGCCCCAAAGGGGCCCCAGGAGGACCCCCAGGGGACCTGGAGAGGCCAGATTCATACATTTCTGCAAAGTGTTTGCTTCCTGTTTGGACTCTTCCGTAGGGTTTTGCTCGAGGCTTCCGCTGATGTCTACTCCGGATGCCGCCTGACATGGCGGACGATGTCCACCGCCCGCCGCTGTGCCGCGCATGCTCTGCCCAGCACACCTACTACCCTCAACACTTAGACCCGGGGCCTTTCCTGCTACGGCAGCCGCTTCCGTCGCTGGCCTTCTTTACGCGCGTCTTGTATTTCTGGCACAGTGCTCAGGTGATGCTGAGTCTTTCGCCGTGCGCAAGCGGCCAGCCTCCCGCGGACGTTCCAGCTCAGATACGCTGCATTGCACTCGCTGCGATCAGGACGTCCCGCGGCTGGACTTCAGCATCAACCAGCGCAAACACTCCTCCCGCGTATGCATCGCTTGCCATATGAAGTGCCTTCGCCACCGACCTCGACTGGTCGCATGACAGCGTCTGCCGCGAATTCAGGGTAGTGGGTCGACTGCCCCTTCAAGACGTGCCGTTCTCCTTCGGGGAAATGAGCCGAGCTTGCCCCCATTGCTCAGCCCCCCTCTTCCATACCGAAGCGCCTATGTTCTGCTGCAGCAGAGGCAAGTGGGCGGTCCCATTCGACCAAGTGTTCTCCTTCCCAGCACCCGCCCTTTTGGAGATATTCCGCTCAACTTGGCCAGCTCGGGACTCCGCGGGCGAGCTCGTGCGCGATCCCACCAATTCTCTTTGTCTGACATTGTTCACGGCGGCCAGTCGCTGCTACAACAACTTCTTGGCACGGTGTTCGCGAGATCCAGAGCGCTGGAAGGAACTCCGAGTCGGCAACTGCATGCGCCCTTCCAACCTCCGGATCTACGGCCTCATGTACCGGCGATTACTCACTGCAGCCGACCCCGCCGCTGAGATATCTCGTCGTCGACCCTCAAAAACGCGTTCGAAACCTACTGCGATGCAGCTGGACATGCCGCTGCTCCGTAGCTCCGAATGCCTCCTATTGCCCATGAGCCTTATCATGACTGAAATCAAGCGCCGCGGGGCTCTACGCCGCGCTGACCCCGACGCAGCGGTGCATTTGAAATGGGACGAGGGTATCAACAAGCTCGCCGTCATTATCGACGCGCGCCCGGACCACCACTTTCAGCCTCGCACAGTCACTTTCCGACTGCACTCCTCCGCCGCCCCCAAGTATTTCCATCCCATGCGCCATTTCTACGAGCCGCTGTCCTACGTCCTACCCATTGTGGTTCCCGTCCGCCGGGCGTGGGTGGAGCCCGGATGCGACGGTCGACGGCGCGCGCATCAGCCAAATGCGGTGGTGCCGCCAATGCATGCTACGGCTGTGTCGCATGCGCGCTTGCGGACGACTGCTCAACGAATGGCTCGTCAACGTGCACTGTCGCATCGGAGACGAAAGATCGAGTCTCTTCCGGCGTGACCAGCTCAAGCTGCGTGGCAGTCGACGTCAAGTCTGCGAGATGGTTGCTAACTCCGCCAGCCAAACTCATAATTACTGTGGCCCGCGTGTTGTCGCCCTCCAGCGTGCCGGGCTCCCCGTGCCACCTCCGACGTCTTAGAGTCGACTCTTGAGAGCTGGTGCGTCCTAAAAGATCGCCCTTTCTTCATCGCCTTAAGTTGCAACCCGTAGCGGCCAGAAGTTCAGTCGGCCCTCCTGCCTGGACAAACTGCTGCTGCCGGGGGTTCCACGCACGACTCTTGGATACGGCTTCCTTTCTCATGGCCGACTTCTGCGGGCGCCAAAGGTGCATCATCCGCGACATTGGGTGCCAGATGCGCGGTCTTCCTCATGCCCGCATTGTGCTCGCAGTGTGGAGCCAGTTCTGTACGCCCGAGGAGATCGATGCTCTCATATCGTGCAAAGTCCGTCCTGAACCTGGCCCAGTCTGCATTTCTGCTTCGTGTGGTTCATCGGTGCAGTCATTGTTGCAACCCCGACGACCCGGCCCAAGAGTGCATCAAAGTCTGCCCATGGCCCTTCACACCACCGAGGTCGACGCCCGAAGGTACCCGCAGCACCGCCGACGCCCGAGCTCTGACACTTGCCCGAAATGCCAGTGTGGCGGGCCCACAAGGCCGCTATGCTCACGACACACATCAAAACATACACCCCCAAAACATTCAAATTCACGAGAAAACCGCACTCTGTCGTTCACGCGCCGTGCTGGGATACGAATTCCGCGCTCCTGCGCAAGCGATGATGATCAACAGGCAAAATGATGTAGCGAAGCGAAGCGAGCCAACACTATCTTGTATATATATATATATATGTATATATATATATATATGTATATGATATATCTCTGTCCATTCTTGGTTTCTTTCTCTCTATATATACCAATATCCCCCTTTCGGCTTCGTGTATATATACATATATATACACACGCGTATTATCTTCAGTTCCTGTACAGTCTCTCTCTCTCTCTCTCTCTTCGTCTCTGCCTCTCTCTCTCTCGACCCTTTTCCTCAGCTCTCTCTCTCTCTCTTTCTTTGTTTTTGTTATATCTCTCTGTCTTTCTCGGTGTGTATATAGATATACATAAATCTACTTCGCTTTGTACCCTTACCCTCGTAATTTGCTGTGCTCTGGATGCCTTATCTGTTCCTTTGTAATACTATATGTTCTTTCTCGCTCTGCTCAACTATGCTCTCCCCTCTCGGATCTGTATTTTTGTTTTGTACTGTGTGCCGTCTTGCTCTCATGGTGGTTGCAAGGGACCGGGTAGTTGCCCGCAGCCCAGAACGCGAGGACACGGGATTTTTCAGCGCTGGGATTTCCGGATTCATCATTGTGGACCTGAGAAGTCGGCCAGAACCAGGACACCAGGAACTGGGAATCGGAAATCTTGAAACCTGGCCGCCCACCGAAACCGGTGTGTTTCTAAACCTACTTAAGAAAAGTGTTAGGAGTTCTCCAGTGCAAGCGCTGGTTGGGGGAAATGCGCATCTAATGCTTCTGTTGGTGAACTGTTGGCCAGCGTGGCAACAAAGGAGCGACTCATTGCATTTTGGAGGTGACAGGTATGCTGCGTAAGATGTGTGGTGTAAGCTATGGTGTGTAAGTTGGGTGGGGCGGGCTATATGGTGTGAGCCATTGTTGTAAGATTTGGGGGTGTGAGCTATGTAGTGGAAGCTAGAGGGTGCAAGCTATGCGGTGGAAGACCTGTTGTGTAAGCTTTGTGGTGTGAGCTATGTGGTAGAAACACTGCGTTGCAAGCGATGTGGTGCAAGCTCTGCGGTGGAAGCTATGTTTTGTACGCTCTGTGGTGGACACGCAGGGGGCGCCCACGGGACGCCAACGAGCGGACACGGGCGCTTGCGAGGCGAAGCCTCGGGACCCCCCCCCCAGCGCACGAGGCGCTTGCGAGGCGCCCACGAGCGGGCACGGGCGTCAACGCGGCGAGTCCTCGGGAATCCCACTCAGCGCACGGGGCGCCCACGGGCGGGCACGGGCGCCAACGTGGGGAAAACCTAAGACATCCATACAATTACCTCAGAAATCCGGCTCAGAAGACCTAGGTGCAAGCACTGTTTTGGAGACGGGGGGTCCTCAGTGACCACGCCCTTCTGGAGTCCCAAACGTCGCCTTCACTGGGCCCTCTTGAGGCGCTCTTGGGGCACTATTGGGCGCTCTTGGGGCTATTACGGGGCCCTCCTGGGCCTATCCTGGGGCTCTTTGGGGCTATCTTGGAGACATGCTGTGACCGCATCGGCCATAGGCGAGAAGGCCAACATCTTTTTTTTATTTTTATCTGTGGCCTCTCATGTGCGTCCTTGGGAGGCTCCGTGGCCACTTTTGGACCCGTCTTTTGTTGGGGGGAGGATCTTGGAGTTTCTGTGACCCATCTTGAAGATTATTTCGAGCGATCTTACTGTGCCATCTTAGATTTCATCTCGGGCTCTCTGGGGCCTTCTTGACGCTATATTTGGCTAACTTGGGCACTCGAATCTCTCGCTCTGCTCGCCACTCAGACCCAGGGGGGAGGTATGGGGGAGGGGTAAGCCCCTCCCCGAAGGAGAAGGAGATGGCTGAAAGAAGAAACGCGCTAGACAAACTGCGCACATGCGGCTGGTGGGACTCCTTGTACCACCTACGCCCAGAAGGCTGGTCGGATCACCGAGTCATGTATTACTGCGTGCGCTGTTGGGTGCAGTTTGCCACCTGTTTGCCAGCCCCTTCGACCTGCTCCTCCTTTTCCTCCTCCTGCTTCGGCTCCTCCTCCTGCCGCACCTCGCTGTCCTTCTTCCCGCCCTCCTTCTCCCTCCCCCCTCTCTCTCGTCCTCCCTCTCCCCCTTCTCGTCGTCGTCGCCGTTGCCGTCGTCCTTTTCCCTCTTCTCCCCAACTCGGCTGCCTTCGTTCATTCTTCTAGACTCGTTCGCACGTTCCGGGTTTCCCAAGCTGGGTGCCGTAGGATCATGACCAACACCGCCGAGTTCACGTTCTGCCCTTCGTGCTCCGAGAGGTCGGAGAAGTGCATGATATGCGGTGCCTCTTGCTCCGGGGTCGAGGGGCAGACTGGCATATAAGAGTGGGGTGACGATGCTGATGATTATGATGTTGATGGTGATGCTGACGATGCTGATGATGATTATGATGATGATGCTGATGCTGATAATGATGCTGATGATGATGATGATGATGCTGGTGATGGTGGTGGTGGTGATGATGCGGCTGCGGCTGAGGCTTAGGCTGAGGCCCTGATGATGATATTCATGCTGATGCTGCTGATGATGGTGGCGATGCTGGTGACGGTGACGATGATGACGATGATGACGGTGATGCTGCTGATGGTGACGATGACGATGACGATGGCGATGACGATGACGACGACGAGGAGGGGGACGACGAGGACGAAGACGACGACCATGACCACAACGATGATGACGACGACGACTACCATGATCATACTGATACTGATGATGGTGATGATGATGGCGACGATGATAATGAGGATGTTGATGCTGCTGATGATGATGATAGTAATGATGATGTTGATGATGTGATGCTGATGATGATAGTGGTGGTGGTGATGCTGGCGATGATGCTGATGATGATGATGCCAATGCTGATGATGACGACGCCGACGACGACTATGATGATGCTGCTGACGATGATGATTCTGATTTTGATGATTATGATGATGATCATGATAATGATGCTGATGCTGATGTTGTTGTTGATGATGATGATGGTGGTGGTGGTGATGGTGATGGTGATTGTGACGATGATGAGGAGGACGAGAAGGAGGATGAGGAAAAGGATCAGGATGAGGGGTAGGCTGGGAATGGGGCGAGGCTTAGGAGCAGAAACAGCTTGATAGCAATATGGGCGGAGGTTGAGTGGGAGGAGGCGCAGGAGGAGAATGAGGAGGATGAGGAGGACGAGAAGGGGGAGGATGACGGGGAAGATAATGATACTATTGGAGGAGCAGGACCAGGAGGATCAGCTCGAGGAGAAAGACGACGAAGAGGAGGGAGGGCGGACGATGATGATGCTGATGCTGATGCTGATGATGCTGGTTATGATGATGATGCTGATGATGATGACGATGACGCTGATGATGATGGTGACGATGATGATGATGATGATGATGATGATGATGATGATGGTGACGATGCTGGTGATGCTGCTGATGATGGTGGCGATGCTGGTGATGACGAGGATGAGGCTGATGCTGATGCTGACGGCGGATGGCGGCGATGATGCTGATGATGGCGATGATGATGCTGATTGTGATGATGATGATGATGCTGATGATGATGATGATAATGACGATTGTGATGATGATGATGATGCTGATGATGATGATGATGATGATGATGATAATGACGATGGTGATGATGATGATGAGGCTGCTAATGATGATGCTGATGACGATGCTGATAATGCTGATGATGCAGCTGATGATGGTGACGATGATGCTGCTGATGATGATTGTGATGTTGATGCTTCTGATGATGATAATGACGATGATAATGACGATGTCGATAAGATGATGCTGCTGACGATGATGCTGATGGTGATGATGATACTGATTCTGATGATGAGGAGGAGGAGGAAGAGGAGGAGGAGGAGGAGGAGGAGGAGGAGCAGAGGAGGAGGAGGAGGAGTAGGAGGAGAAGAAGGAGGAGTGAGAAGGAGGAGGTACGGGAAAGGGACGGGGCATTGGGAGGATGAGGAGGATTGAGTGGCATGGGGTGGGTGGCGCAGTTAGGGGGAATGATGGCGGATGGAGGGGGACGACTCATATCGAGCCAGGGTAGAGACAGCACAGGGAGCAGCTTTCTTTCATATCTGAGGTCGCAGAAGCTTTTTTTTGATAGTTCCATTTCGCGTGCAAGTTTGGGATTGATTTGAGAGTCAGCATGGATTTGGGTGATGGTTGAGACGGTCGAAATACTCAGTCCCGATTGGAAATATGTTTGTTCAAGCTTATCCAGTTTTACCAGTTGGCGTTTGTGGCTGGGTTTTCCTTGTCAGAAATGACATCATGCAAGGAGCATGGAGCGGTGCTCAACAGGTATGTTCAGATCGCCAAGAACGAATGGGGGAGGGCTTGAAAGTGAGGCCAGCGTGATTTGCTTCTGAAGTGGTACGCAGCCGCCCACGACATGCACTGACGTCAGAGCATATCTCATGTTGCCGTAGTGGTTGGTGTTCTGGAATCACGGCCATGCCAGTCAAGCAGGTTCGCATGCGTCGGGTGCAGTACCTGCCGCAGAGCTGCCGCAAATCAGCGAGGACGGCGTCCGGTCTTGCGTGAACGCTGTCGTGCTGCACAGTCTTTCTTCAGACGGTGATTCCACATCCTACCTCCGCTCGCCATGATTGGGAATGTTGTGTGCTATTGTGGACGCAGTCAGCAAGCACATCTTGGCAATCCCGTGTTCGTCCTCTCTACATTCCATGCTCTCTCGCTGCGTATTTCGCTCGCTGCTCGTGATGCGTGTCGCGCCGCCCGTTCTGGCCGACCATGCTTCGACGCGACACGCGAAGCACGTCCTGGCCCCCAAGATCAGCTCTCTCCGCTCTCTCCCAGCTTTCCGCAGCCTCGGATCCCACGAAGAGAGCGCGATGCTGTCAGCTTGCAGGGCACAATGCGTTGCAGGGCCCGTTCGCCGCGGCACGCTGAGCAACAGTTGCTGACCGTATTGGTGCAGGTCTCTTGTGCGTTGCAGGAGTCTGTCCTGCTGTCCTGCTGGAGCCGCAGCCGCAATAACGGTTGTCGTCGCGGAGGAGGCTCCCAGCATCCGAATGTTACTCGCCGAACGGTCCCAGCAGCGAGGCCTAGACGCAAGCTGGGGACGGCGGTGTCTGTTCCGAGTTGTCCCAGTGGCACTTGCTCAGAATTACTACGTGCTGTCCCCAATATCCTGCTCTTCCTCCTTCCCTTCTCTTCCCTCCTCCTCCTGGAAGGACCCTCTTCCTCCCCCATTCCCTCACAGCTTCTCTTGTCTCGCACTGCATGATGCCCAGAGGCCCCAGACTCCAGAGGCCACGGGCGCACCCACCTGGACTGAGTTAGGCACGGACGTCATCCGCAGCGGTGTTGGTTCGTTCGTGCATGCGCCGTTGGACGGATTGGAAAACAAGAAAAAGCCAGAAACAGTCGAAGACAGGAACAACAACGAAACAATTGGTAAGCATTTTGTTTTGTTGTCTTTTTTATTTTTTTCTTCTGTGCTCTGGAGATCGGAGACCTTGGAGAGGCACCTGGACGGGGCCCTCAGGATTCCCAGGCGCCCAGGGGGGAGCAGAAGGCGGAGCACGGGGGCCGACAGTGGAGCGACGGGGGACCCACAGGCTTCCCGCGGTTCTGGTGCGCTCCGGGATGCCCCCCGGGCAACGCCTGGAGGGGCCCGATCAGATCTCCCAGTCGCCATCTTGCGGCCTCCCTCGGGCCCCCCTGTTTGGCTTCTGCACAGCTCTTTCGTGCTTGATGCCTCTGCCCCTCTGTCCTCCCTTACTTCTCCCCCTCCTCCTCATCCTCTCCCCCCTCCCCCAGACATCCGGCGTTTCGAGTTTTTTTGAGACACGGCCCCTGACATCTCGACCACTTCCCGAGGACAAATTTTTCATCCCGAGTCTTTCTGTTGACGGTTCCGATGCGCGGTAATTGCCCCGCAGAGCACAAAACACTGACAATCATCCGCCTCGATTTTTTCGAGATGCCCGATGTCTGGGTCCTCTTCCTCCCAGGAGTCGGTGTTGCACGGCGCGGCGCCCGCGGCCGCCACCGTCCCGCCGGTGTACTGCGGCGCCCACGACGCCCGCAGCAAGCGCCCCAAGGGGCCGTCTCGGTGCCGCCGCGCTCTGCTCCTGCAGGGGGAGGAGTTGCGGCGGCGAGCCCGGGGGGCACTTGGAGCCGGCTGGGCATCTGAGGTGGCCCAGCACTGGTCCGGACATAGCCACGACCCCTTGCGAGGGGAGCCGGGGAGCGATTGGGCCCCGAAGTCCAGAAAATGGACCAGACTCGCTAAAAAAAGTCTGCCGTAGCTGGTTTTCTTCGGGTGGCGGCAGTTCTGGTCCTTGGAGTGGGGCGGGCGGCGCCGTTACACATCATCGGACCGAGTCCCGCTGAGCCCAGTCCCGCCAACGCCCGACAGCACTGGTTCTGGCGAGCGGGAAGGGCGCGGAATGGTTCGAAGTTCTGGGTTCGAGCATGTTTTTTTTCGGCCTCGGGGGGCCGTTTTCGGGCCCCAGGACCAGCAAAAACGCATACGGGGTGCAAAGTTGCAACTGGTGGACACTGGGAGGGGTCTGGGGACCAATTTTGAGACATATTGCCCTTATCTCCTCTTCCTGACTGCTGTTCTCGAGGTCCAGCCAGGTCAGAGCCCAGCCGCCTCCAAAGGGGCAGGCCTTTGAGACGGCCTGCTCCCTCTCACTTCCCCACCTGGGCCCGCCGCGGACTGGCGAGGGGGTAGGGGAGTCATGTTTTTCAGTGCGGGCGTTGTTCCTCGATTTCGGCGCCCATGGGTCCTTCATTGCGCCCCTGGGCCATCAAACATGGATCTGGGTCGAAAAACTGACCCTGGGGCAAGGGGCCGGGAGGTCTGGGGCCGAGGACTGAAAAAATGATGTCGTCAGATCGATGGGTCGGAGGAGGACAAGGTACCGATACTGCGACCCTTGCCTCGTTTCCGTATTTTCGGGCCTCCCCTCGTCGCCACGGCTTTATTCGCCTTGCCACAGCTGGCAGAACGCACCTCGGGAGAGCTTCTGGGAGTAGCGGGATCGGTACCTTTCGTTTTCCCAGGAGAGAGAGAGAGAGAGAGAGAGAGAGAGAGAGGAACCTTTCGGAGGTCCCCCCAGGAAAGTCGCCCCTTCACCGAGGATCTCGGACGTTTCCGTCGGGTTCTCGGTGGTGCTCCGGCTCCGGGATGCCTTCAGCGGCTGCGCCACGCCGAGAGCGTTCGGGGGGTGCCCGAATCGTCCCCGAACGGCCGCCGGAGAGTCGAGCTATGACCCGAACTCCGAAAACCAAGGGGTCGACGACAGGGGGGGTTGTGGGGGGGGATGGTGGGACACGCCAGGTGCGCTCGCGCCATACCTGACATTCGTCCTTCCCGCCCAACCCTTCCCATTGCGCTGAGTGTCTATCGTTTTTTTTGTTCTCCCTTTTTCCCAACCATCCTGTGGTGTTGGGTCCTCGTTCTGAAGAGACGGTCCCCGCGTTCTCCTCCTCTCGTGCCCCTCCCCTCCTCTCTACCGTCCGCATGCGTCCCGCACACCCAGTACAGCGTTTCGTGGCCCCATAGGGAGCCCCACCGAAGGTCCCAGTGCTATCGTGTGCTACCGTCCGCATGCGTCCCGCACCGAAGGTCCCAGTGCTACCGTCCGCATGCGTCCCGCACACCCAGTACAGCGTTTCGTGGCCCCACAGGGAGCCCCACCGAAGGTCCCAGCGCTACCGTCCGCATGCGTCCCGCACACCCAGTACAGCGTTTCGTGGCCCTCCTCCCCCTCCTCCCTGCGTTTCACCCACCCAGTACAGCGTTTCGTGGCCCCATAGGGAGCTCCACCGAAGGCCCCAGTGCTCCCGTCCGCATGCGTCCCGGAAGCCCAATTTGGCATTTTCACCCACCCAGTGCAGCGTTTCGTGGCCCCATAGGGGGCTCCACCCAAGGCCTCAGTGCCACCATCCGTATGCGTTCAGGAAATGTAGTTTGGCATTTTCACCCGCGCAGTGCAGCGTTTCGTGGCCCCATAGGGGGCTCCACCGAAGCCCCCAGTGGGACCGTCCGCATGCGTCCCGGTAGCCCAATTTGGCATTTTCACTCACTCAGTAGAGCGCTCCGTGGCCCCGTAGGGAGTTTCACCGAAGCAGATATTCACAATTACGGTACCCACAACTGCATATGGTTGGGATCTTCGCCAGGATAATTTTCTTCTCTATCTCTATCTCTCTTTCTCCTTCTCTCCGCCGACGGGTGTCCTAGCGGACCTGGAACCCCCAAACAGACACCAACGTGTCAGGTGCAATCAGAGAAGGGGAACTGTGTACGTTTGAGCAGGAGGTGGCGGATGAGCTGGAGGATGAGCAGGAGGACAAGGAGGAGGATTAGGAAAGAGGAGGACGAGGAGGAACAGCAGGAGAAGGAGTGTGAGCAGCGGGAGGAGCAGGAGAACCTTTGAAAGCGGATGTGGGCAAATTTGCGGGAATACAGCATGAGACAACGATGAAGAAGGACCTCGGACCCAGAAACGTGGCCTGTGTTGGGCCAAGAGCGCCATTCTGAACGACGGGAGCAAAGCCCAGCACCGTTTTGAGAACGTTCCGATCGGAATAACCAGATGTCAGATCAGTTGTTATTCTATAGGCTTACGCCACATCCGCCGACCCCTTTACCGACTTGGGGACCTCCTATTGTTGTCCTGGGGCGTACTTCTGTCGTCTTGTTTCTTTGGGGGGGCGGGCTCGGGGCTCCTCGGGGCCACCCCCGAGCTGTTCTGGGGGCATTTTGAGCCGTTCAGGGGGCGAACCTTACACGTCTGGAGACCCCGTAGGGGTTGGCAGATGCGGATTGTATTGCATGTGTCCAGACACGCGACAAGGCAGAGGCTACAAAGTGATCCACCTGGTCTGATCTGGGCCTTTACGCTAGTCCGCACCAGGGTCGTTCGTTCGTGCCGCGCTCTCTTCCGAGCGAGGGCCACTGTTCTGGATCCGCGTCATTCCGCATTCTTGGCGCCCCGCCACCGTGCCTGGGTTGTGGGGCTGAGGCCAATCGGATGGTTGATGGGTCTCGTGGGAGGCCCCTCGGGAGCGTCCTGGAAACAGTTTTTGGACCACTTGGGGGCCTCATGGAGGCCTCGTGTCTTTTTTTAGAGCTTCCTCGGGGTTCTCTGGGGGCTTCTTTGGGATAACCATATGGAAGACCAATTGATATTTTTGTATATGAAGCTTGTGTAAGCAACAATACTCGGAGAGGGCGTGACACTTCCAGGGCACTCCCAGGGCAACGAGGAGAGTAGTTTCATACTTCGTACCTGTGGAGGAGGGAAGAAAGGGGGATGGGGGAGGAGGAGGGGATGGGAGGGGAGGCGGAGAGAGGAGGGGGGGGGGGGGGGGGGTAAGCCAGGTACCGCCGCGCCATATCTGACGTCCTACCCTCTCACGCCCATCTTTTTCCATTGCGCTCATTTTTGTTCTGTCCTCTCCCCCACCCAGCCCTTCCCGTTGCGGGGCGGGAGTGGGGAGAGAGGAGAGAGGATGCGGGGGGAGAGGGGAGGAGGAT